CCTCTCTGCACAGTCCCTGTAACCCACAAATGTGTGACATTCAGGATGCTCAGTCAAGCTCTTGTTGTTCCTCATCCAGAACATTTAGCACTGGCTTCCTTCAGCCAAGACAAAAAAATCAGCTGAAAGACCAATAAGGAAAACAACTCTTGGAGCCACTGAAAAGGATGGTCAGAATTCAGAAGAATTTGGCTCAGTGAGCATCAAAATCCTACATTTGCACATTCTTTCTCTAGTAAATGCTCGATGATGATGACGATGATGATGATGATGATGATTGGTATTGTTACTATTGCCAGGGGCACTTTTGCAAAGGTTCAATTTCCCATGTCAGCATTTCAGCCTCAGGTTTCACCCCACCATGGTTTGTCCATTCTCCCCCACTCCCTGGGGCTCTGAACAGCCCCCACAGCTCTCATCCAACAGCCCTGCCCTGCACAGTGACCACCACTGAGCCCTTGGGAGCTGGGCTGAAATGCTTCAGGGGTACAGGACACCCCTCAAGGACCCTCACTCTGCCTAATGCTCTCGTTACCCCTTGCTGGATTTATCTAAATCCCCCCGAGCTCAGCAGTGCTCCTTACAGATCTGAGCAGCAGGAAGAGGAATCCTTTCCACATTCCTCTGCAGCTGTGATTTTGTTCTCCAGGACACCCAGGGACACTGGGGTTTCAGGGGACCCAGCAAATCCCTCACATCCTCTGGTCTCCATAACGTGAAGAACAAGGTAACACTTGCATCCCATTAGTGCTGAGCACAGAGCTGTGCAAAGCACTTTTTGTTTGGGTTTGTTTTCTGTTGTTGCCTTGTTAACTTCTGGGTGAAGAAAAATTAGTAAAGGAAATATCTGCTTGGGCTTAGCCAGACACATTTCAGTTTCAGCTTCAGATTTTTAACTCTTCTAAAGAAGCTACACCTCCAACTCATTTTAGATTGAAAAATCAAAGGATATTCATAATCAAAATGTTTTCCAGGATTTCTGCACTCTGTTGTTTTAATCCAAAACTCACTGAATACTTCCCAAGCAGGGGGATCTATTCACTTTCTGATGGGACCAAGCCTTTAATCACCATTTTCCCATTTGAACTTTCTCTGACCTGTGACATGGACCCAATGTCCCCTAAGAGACCTCATGCTGGTGGCAGTTTCAGGAGCTTCCTTTTGTGGTTCTAGATTATTCCACCCTGAAACTCTCCTTAAAAATGCCTTACATGGCAAGTTTAGACCCATGAATCTGGGGAGATTTCTCCTGGAACATGGCAAGCACTGGGTAAGGCTGGGTGTCAGCCAATCTTCTCTCCCACGCCTGTCACCCCACACACTCTGCCTCAATATTATGTTACTCTTACAGCTGTGGAGGTTTGGACAATGAATTTTGACCCTCCCTCTGAGCACTGATGAGGAACAGGGAGAAGAGCCAGCGAGTCCAAAATGGACAAACCCAGAACGGTGCAATTTGCCTACAATACACCATGAAGGAACTGGATACCTCCAGAGACACCTCCATCCCTCCAACCCCACACCATCAATAGTCACTCCTGAGCACCAGGCAACAATTCACTGGCAAATGAGCTCCAAGCAGGGCTTTGAAATGACACAGCTCGAGCTTTAGAGGCCGATGCACGGTCACTGGTGCCTGCTGCCACGTGATGCCACTGGCAACAGGGGTGATTTTGGCACTTTGAAACAAGCACGGGGCCAGATTGCAATGGGAAGCAACAACCATAATTCTCCTGCAGTCAGAGAGCTCCTGGATTTTGTACCCACTGAGAGTTTAGCCCCAACAGCACAATACAGAAACTTGAGGGCACTTCATCAAATCAAAGTTCTTAACTTAAGAGTTCTAAACTCTTAACTGTTTAAGTTCATCTTCTCCATGAAATGTGTCTGCAAGGCACTCTCAGGCACTTCACCAGAGTTAATTGCCTGAACCCAAACCATCACAGCCCACAAATCCTTTAAACTTTGAGAATTGACTTAATGCTGAACAGCTGCCAGGCTCTCGCTCGCCCAGAGCCATGGGAACAGCTTTTCTTATCGATAAATGGGGATTCCTGTGTGTGCAACACCCAGGAATGGCACTGGAAATGCTTCTGCTTGGAGATTAGAAAATGCCAGCAAAAAACGTGCTAAGTGCAGCTGGAGGCCAAGCAGGATGCACATTCCCACCAAACCATGGCCCAGTCCCTTTCCAGAGGTGTGGAATGAGGGCACGGGGGGTGCTGGAAATTGCTGTGCTTCCACAGGCAAGGCTCTCCTCAACAGGGAAGCACTGGGCTACCAAGAGCCATTGAGAAATGAGGACTTTAATGGTGACAATTGCATCAGAACAAAAGCAATCTCCTATTTTAGTCTAATTAGTGCTGTGCTAAATCATCAGGCGGGGCCTTGCCTTTTGCAGTGGAAAGAGACACATCTGTGAGGCTCCTCTGCTGCATGTGGTTTGTATTATCCTCCAGCACAATATGCATAAACTAATGCTGTTCTACACTTACACAGCACCTCATCTGGAAATCTGAAAGCGATTTATGAATGGTGGGCATCTGTGACATTTTACAGATGGAAATCGAGGCACAGAGGGATTCAGTAATTAGCCCCAGACTTGCACAATGAGTCAGCTGCAGAGCAGAGCCCATTTTTTGTTCTGTACTAACATCTAGTGTCCAAACACAGAGGGAGATAAGTCTTTCTCCCCAAAAAGTGTACAAGCACACCTAAAAATACCACCCATCCCTGTGTTCAGACCAAGACTGCTGAGGAACAATCAGAGTGAAAGCACAGCCTCCCCTGGCACACAGGTCTCTTCATTCTACACAGGCAAACAGAAGGGTTAATATGCCTGAGAGTTTGTCTGCTTTTTCCACATCAGTTGATCTAATAAAAAAGATTGATTCTCCCCACAAATCTGGCCTCACTTTAACAAATCATTTGATTTGACACAAAGGACTATATTCAGATAGTTTAAATTCCACTTCACTCCCTGAAACTAAAGTTTCTAATGGGCTGAAGCCTCAGAAACAGCCAATAGCAAAGGCCAGGCAGAGACACCCACCTTGGGAAGGGCTGGAGGTGCCTGAGTGCAGCCAGAAGCATCTGCAGATCTCTGTGTACTGCAGTGCTTAGGAGCCCATGAGGAACATTGCAGTGTGAAAGAAAACACCCAGACCTTCCTGTACCTTTGAGAAATGCAGCAGCAGCTCACACTTCTGGAAGCCTCCCAGAGGTAAACATAACACTGTTATTACCTGCCCACCTTGCCTGAAGTGAATACCCAACAGGACAGATGTTGAAAAGGGCACAGCCACCAAGGGAGAAACTGAAGCACAAAGTTTCAAGGAAACAAATCACCGCTTTAAAAAGACAATCCAGAATTAAGAGTGATCTGTGGCAGGACCAATAATGAGGACTGCAGAAAATGTAGATATAATTTCTGCTGGCACAGTACTTTCCCATGTGCCCTTGGACACGCCATCAGTTCCCCCACATGGCAGCTCCAGCATGAGGGTCACTGTGGTGAGAAGTGCATTTGTGTGCCAGGACATGCCCAAGTTAACAGGGGGGAGTCAGCACCCCAAACCACAGCAGAGACCAGGAAAGGGAATGAGGACAGAAACAAGAACTGAAGGATCATTCCCTCCTAGAAGGATTGGGACTGGCTTCTCTATTCAGACAATGATTTTTTTCCTGATACAGTAAGAACTAAGAATTTCAAGGAAGCTGTTACACACTCCAAATGATCTCTGGTCTCCATAGTGAGCACTGGGAATAGTGTTGGGCATCTTCAGGGTCTCACCCAAGGGCTGCAGCACTGCAGATTTGACACAGATCCTTCCCAGGCTGCCCTCTCTGCCCTGCTTGGCTGCTTCCCACTCCTCCAGCTGGGCCTGGGACCCAGGGCCAATTCCAGCCTGAACAAACATTCCATGAGGAATCAGCAGCACTTGCTGTGACACCCCTGGCCAGAGCTCACAGAAATGAACTGCAGCTACAGCAAGAAGCACAATTCCATAGAGGGTGGGGCACAAGACTGGGGCTTGTCCTAACCTGAGGCTTCATAGGAGCTTCTGGGCTGTTGAGACATGGATTTTTCTGGTGAGTGTGTGTTCAGCAAGGAGAGGCAGAGCAGTGGGAGCTCCTCATGCCCTGTCACACCACTGCCTATCCCAGCACCTGGGATAACTCAGCATGTGCTGCTTCAGAGCTGCCACGATTTTCATCTACCACAAACCTGCATGTGGCCATCAGGCACAAAGACTGCCACTTAAATTCTTGCTTCTCATTGATTAACCATCACTGGAGATACATTTTGGAATTTAAAACCTTGGCTGGGCTTTTGCATCTGCACCAGAGAACTTTCAAGTGACTTTCTGACATGGGTTTGGAGACACACCAGCAAGTAACAAATCACCTTTCATTCCCTTTCAACCTTTAAAACCATTTTGGTTTTCTCAGGGGAGGCTGTTCCAACACACTCAGACATGAGGAGACACCAGGCTGCTGGATGCCAGTGGCTGAGGAACCTCTCTCCTCACAGGAGAGCCTGCAACTGCAAATAAAGCCACAGCCACCCTCCCTCTGGGTACTCACCTCATCAGGTAACCCCGTTCCTGGCTCTTCTCAGCATCCCACCCCAAAAGATTGAGAAGCATGAGCAGGTTGGGGGAAACAGAGGCATGAGTTTTAATGGCAAGGACAGCACAACAGGTACCCTGAGACGGCCCCAGGAACCTGGTGTCCTCTCTACAGTGAACCAAGCAGAAAGGAGGAAAGTGAAAGCAGGATGGCCCTTCCCAGGCGCTCATCAGGTGCTACCTGGGCAGTTCCCAGAGAGAAGCAGGCCATTCCCAGCTCCTTGAGGGAAACTAAGGCAAAGAGCAGGCAGAGACTCACAGACCCCCCTCCCCTCCCACAAGCCAAGGGCATCCCTGGCTGGCACAGCCCCCCTCCCCCAGGGGTGCTGGGGGCTCTGGCTCTCCGGGAAGCCCGTGGTGCCCACTTACGGTCCTGGCTGGGAAAGGAGCCGAGCTGGCGGCCAGAGGAACCTGCGGGGGAAGACAAGGAATTATCACCGGGCTCGTGGCAAACCTTCACCCTGCACAGGAAAAGTTCACTCAGCTGGCAGAGCACAACTTGGTGAGGAATGGAAGTGCCTCCATTGCCCCTGTGCCAGCAGCAGCCCCGGCCCCTCCCGAGGGCTGAACAGCCCTAAAACAGCCCCTGCCTCCTCTGGAGATGATGCTTCCAAGAAATACAACCTCAGAAAAACCTCCTGAAGGGAACAGGCTGCAGCATCCACTCTGGCTCAGTGTAGAAGGGGCAGGGGTTGGATCTGGGGTGGTTTTTTTGGGTAATGGTAGTTGCTGCTTCCATCACACACAATGGGGAAAAAATGGTCCCAGGTGCAAGGAGGGAGAGCAGCTGCTGTTGTTTTGGCTGAGCCCTGGGGAGAAGAATCCAGCACCTTTCCAGCAGCTGGTGCATGTGCTAGAAATTATGTTTGTGACAAGAAGAGATCAGATCAAGGTGGGGGGAAGGCCTTTAGCAGTATGGGCACAGCAACATCTCCTAATGCTTAGGAAAACAGAGGACACTTCAGAGGGGTGTCTGCCCCCAGCTCTGCCAAAGACAGCTTCTCAGCTGGTTTGGTCACCTTCCCTCTACAGACTTTTTCTGTTTCTGAGTGTAAAGCCAGAGATGATGACTCCAATTGCCTTTATAACCAGCCTGAGGTCTATGAAGACCTAATTATTTAAGTCTGTGAACCACAAAGCACTTTCATCTGGAAATATATGAGCAAATCAGTATCTGTGTTTTGTGAATAAAAGGCTAATAAAAGGAAAAAGAAAAATGCCAAACAAGCTGAGAAAATAATTGTCTTAGTAGGAAAAACTTCCCCCAGCAGTGGAGGGTGACAGTCCCACTGAAGTGATGGATATTAGTCATGATCAGCACACATAAAACCATCTTAAAGATACTAACTGCAAACAACTGTTACAAGAGTTTACAAGAGTGTGTTTGTTGTAGCAGTGTCTAGAAACATCACATTAAAACCAACCAAACAAGATCAGATAATTGCTTTGAATGTGTTTTTTGTTAGTTTGGGGTCCTGGATGGTTTTGTTCAAAGGCCTGGGAAGCTGAGCAGCCAGTTTGCTCAAGGTCCTCCTACTCATCCTCACTGGGAGGAACAGGAGATGCTGGTGCATTTTCACCAGTGCAAATCTGGACAATGTCTGGGGTCCCTCAGGACCCTCACAGAGTCACTGAAGCCCACACACATTTCTTTGAAGGATTAACAATTCACATTGAAGGATGATACTTCAACTTCCCTCCAGCTCTGCTGCGTCACTCAAGCTTTAAAGCACACAAGCAGTGATAATGGGCCAAGGCCAGTCCCACAGTCAGTTTTACATTCCCCCTAAACCTTTTCTATGAGGAAAATAAATAGAGACTTGACTGCTGGTGTGACTCCCAGCAGATGTTTTCATAATGTTGGGTATATCTGGGACATGTGGATGAACAGAAACCTGCCCAGAATTAACGCCAGCACTATCTTATTCCCTTTCCCTTACAGAAATCCTGTCTCAGCAGGATCTGACCCCAAGACCCTCACGGGATTGCCAGTGTGGGGAATCTTTTCAGCTAGTTTAATCCAAGATTCAGGATTCAGTGATGCTCATTTAGCAAGGACATGGTAAATCAGATCCTTGAGGGGATGTTGCCATAAATTCCCACCATGTTTTTTCTCAGATGAGCAACCGTGAGCTCACAGCACTCCTCCTCCCACCAAGCCAAGCAGCAGGAGCCAGGCAGCTGCATTTGCCTCTAGGAAATGCTGTGGAGACAAGGGGATGGCTGTGCTGCAGCCTTTCCTGCATCCCCAGTGCCAGGGGCCTCCGAGCTGTGTCAGCTCTGGCTGCAGGCCCATCTCTGGGCTGAGAGAGCGGGCAGGAGGGTCTGGGACACATCCTAAGGCTGGATCCTGGCTGGATCACAGGGCCACTGAAGTGCAAGCATAGAAAACATGGCATTCATTGAGTGAGCATGGCCAGGAGCACTTTTGCAGCAGGAACCACACAGGGCAGTCCCAGCCTCCCACACAAACCTCCCTCCACAGAGTCCAGCTCTCGATCCTGTCAGATGTGGCAGGTGTCTGAATCCCCTCCCTCTTTTTATAGGTCTGCCTTAAGACTGCAGCAAGCCACAGTAATGCCCTGCTTTACAGAAAACCAGTCCCACACACCCTGCTCCCTGCCGTGGCTACAGCAGCCACAGGATTGCAGCTGAGGACTGGGATGCAGCTCCAGCACCTTCTCCACCTCCCAGGACAGTCAGCAGGGCAGATCTGTCCCCTTCTCATGTCCTGCTCCTCTCTTCTCTTATCCAGGTCAGGTACCAGCACAGCCACCTCTCAAAGAGCCTAAAATCTGGTTACCCTTGGCCACATCAGCTGCAAGGGGAGTGCAGAGAAACAAGAATCAAGCTCCACATTTTAACCCCAAGTCTGGCAGAAGCCTCCCCTTTGCTCTGAGGCTGTCAGTGCAGCCTGAGGAGCTGCATCAAGCTGTTGATACTCAGTGAAGGGGAAAAAAAATTACTCTTGTCTTTCACATTTGAAAACTTAACATAAGATCAACCAAGCACATTCTGCATGAGATTTTTGGGAATGGGTGGTCACAGAAAATGGCAAGTCTCTTTGGTGCTGGAAGCCCTGCACCACTACAGAGCATAAACATTACCTGCAAGCCATAACAAAATGCTCAAAACCACATGGTTTTGTGCTCTTATCCACATAATAGAATAATCACAATGCAATAAATTTTCTTTCATCATTCAACCATTAACAGCAACTTCAAACCACCGAGTTCTGCTTCTACTTTGAGAAGCAGAGAAAGATTCCAGTTTAGTCCTTTCCAGATTAAATTACATAAATGTTTAATGCCTTCTGCAAGATCTGCAGAGTCAACAAAAATACTAAAGGCCAAATCCAGAGGGATCCTGTTAACCAGCTCAAGATCCATCTAGAGTTAAACAGCATCCACAGTGAGAACAGAAAGTTTCTCCCTCTGCACAACAGTGTCAGGTCAAGATCAATGACATAAAAAAAATGTTTACTAGGTCTTCTCCGTAATAGCAACAAGAAAGAAAAAATTAAATCTCAAGAATTGCAAGAGAAAGGCCAGTCAAAGGTAGAAATGTATTCCACACCCCTGTGCAGAGAATCCATTTCTGGACTTCTGCCTAAAACTCTGCATCCGCCTTGTGCTGGCTCAACCCCCATTGCTCTTGGCAGGTGAGATAGAAAATTGGTTATAAAATGAGCTCTATATTTTATAAGTTTCATAAACATTTTTTTGAAAAAAAACTGGAATATGAGGTATTCTCAGAGATTCTGTGCCAGAGAGTAATGTGGTCTAACTTGGAAACAGAGTTACCACCTGTTCATGGCAACTGCTCTTTTAATCTTCATTTCTGTTTTATGAGCTGACCAACACTATTTTATTAGCTGACAATTAGTTTAGGTTGATTTAATTAAGCAAAACTGAGTACAATCCCTCTTTCTTCCAGGGCAAACGTTCTGCAGGATTAGGGGTATGAGCAACTTGGAACCTGTATCATTAAAGCTAAATTCCAGATCTTTTTGTCAAAAACAGTCACATAATTGTCCAGGTAAATATATGTCAGTGGACACAGAGATGTTCCAAGTGTTCTAAGAGAAAAAGAGGTGTTCTAAGGAAAAAAAAAAAAAAAAAAAAGAGAGAGAAAAAAATATGTCCTAAGAGAAAAAGAGATGTCTTAAGAGGAAAAAGGCAGGCTCTGACTGCCTGAGGAAATCCAGAGGTGATCATTTGACACTTGTGCTTCAGTTTGACTGGTTTGAGTTGCCACCTTTGCTTTTAGAATGAGTATCTGCACCTCACAGAGGGAAACTGCCAGATAAGAAGGAGAAAGATGAAAAATAACCCAATCTGGAAAGAGCAATTGATTATTTTTCAAGGAGATCAATTCCAAAGCCACGTGGCTGTTCCACTTGTGGCAGTGGGACAGAAAGGGCAGCACAGGGTGGGAGGAGGAGCAGGCACATGGGGCTGGTTTGAGCTCATTTAATTCATGCAAGGTTGGACATGTGGTCATTGCCTGCCACAGCCAGGCAGCTCTCACAGTCACTGCTCCATCAAAAGCTTGAAGCTGATGACAAAAATCTGTCGATATCAGCAGAAGGTCATCTGCATCTTGAACAGATGCCTCCAAAATTGATGTTGCACAGGAGGCAAGGGTCAGTGTTTGCTCTTTTCTGCCAGTGTTTGTCCTCCTGGGAGCAAATACCCTCATGCACCAGGATCTGGGCTGAAGAGAAACCACGTGTCTGCAAAGTACTGCGTAAGACTGCAAGGGGTGAGAACCTCAGCTTTGATGTCTTTGGGTTTCCCTTAACTTGTTGCTGTAACTATTTATCTCTTCATTTTTCCCCTTGAATATTTTGTATAATATTTGTAGAGCTGTACCAGGAAGGAATTCCCACCTGGACAAACATCTCTAGTTCAGCACAAACTCAACCTTACACACAGACAGGAGCTTTAGCTCCTGATACAAGTCAGGTATCAGGCTGAGAGGATTTAGCCTTCCTCAGACAGGTTGTACAGATGTTTCTGCTTTGCTCATTTTAAAGATTCAAAGCAATAATTGACCAAAATCAGCAGCCTTTTGAGCACCAGCCCTCACCAAGGTAAGCTTGAGTGAAATACTCAAGGATGAACTTCCTCATGTCACAATTTCTTGAGTCCCATTTTGCAAGGCAGGACCCAGTGGTTAATTCTATGTGCAGAGCTTGCAGTAGAGGTTGTAGCCACAACTCAGCCCTAGAGGACTGATAAAAATGACTGTAACAGTAGTAGAGGCTCGGGTGCAGTTCAGTGCAGATAATTTTGCAGTCAAATGGTTCTTCTGTAAGATATATGTTGCCTTTGACACTTACTGAGCCTTGAAAAGTGAGCCACCACCATTAGTTATAACTCCCTGGCAAGGAAAGCACTAATAATTCT